GCTGGGGACCGAGCCTGAAACCCAAGCATGTGCCCTGACTGGGAATTGAACCAAGATCTCCTGGATCCTAGGTCAATGCTCAACTGCTGAGCCATGCCTGCTGGGCGAAAAAATGAATTTTAATTCTTCCTCCAAAGATTATGACTGATAACATTTTTATGCTCTCTCATGCCGGTATCCATTTAACCAATATTTTTTGAGCCGGGCCTCGTCTTGGGGACTTGGATTGGGGACTTGGGTACAGTAGTGAGCAAGACAATTCTCTGCCTTTGAGAGGTCTCTGAGGGACTCCTGCTCTTCCCCTTGGATGACCGTACAAGGCATCCCTGCCAGAGGCACATGGACACTTCTCTAAAAAATAGGGTATATAGACACTGGATTAAGATTGATTTATTCACTCCATCCTACTCTGGGAGAAACCTAAGGGATATGTCCAAAGTCATTGCTGGTGTTGGGAATTGATTTCCGCTCTCCTGGCACCCAGGGGCCTTGTTGGCATGCTCTCTCCCCCTGTGGGAACTCAAGCTTATTTCTCAACTTGCTGCAAGAGTTTGGCAGTGGGCTGCCGGGCATCATTTTTCTTGCCATTGGGTGATATGGATTTGATCTTCAGATGTGGACGTACCTTACCTTGGGGACTTTTCAGTGCTACTCTTGGGGACTTTTCAGGACCCTGCCACCCCATCCTATGAACTTTTATTTCATAGGTGTAAAGAAGAAGCCCGTCGGGCATGCCGAACAGGAAAGAAGCAGCTGGTGAGTTTTCTTTTCCCCCCCTCCAGCTGTGTACCTCCACCCTGAGCTGGTGACAGGTGCCCCAGAAGTTCAGAGAGGAACTTGGGGCTCAAGGGCAACAGTCTGCGGGTGGCCAGGCACCACAGCTTATTTTACAAGTGAGAGGGAAGGAGGCCTGGGATGATCTTAGCATCTGGGAATGGCTATCTTCCTCTGGCCCTTTGTTCTGCCCAATCTGACTCTGACCAAGTCTCCATGCACCTCCTCTAGGCACTGAGGTCCCTCAAGGCCAAACAACGGACAGAGAAGCGCATTGAGGCCCTGCATGCCAAGCTGGACACTGTTCAAGGCATCCTGGACCGGATCTATGCCTCCCAGACAGATCAGATGGTAGCCACTGCCCCTCTGCTCCAATACTTGTCTGGTCTCTCTGGCACCCACTCCTTATCCCCTCCACTGTGGCTCTGCTGTTTGGAGGAAGCATGGTTTCTTTTAGGATATGGTTGCCTTAGCCTCTTCTGTTGGGAAGCTTTGGCCTAGTGGATGTGGGGTGAATCAAGCATGGGTAGCNGCCTCTTCTGTTGGGAAGTTTTGGCCTAGTGGATGTGGGGTGAATCAAGCGTGGGTAGCANAAGCATGGTTTCTTTTAGGATATGGTTGCCTTAGCCTCTTCTGTTGGGAAGCTTTGGCCTAGTGGATGTGGGGTGAATCAAGCATGGGTAGCAAAAAAAACAAACCCAAAGCTGTCTTTTGGAGGTGAAACAATATTATATGTATTTTTCCCAGTCTTCTTCATTTGCACTGATAACTGCTTTCTCCTTAGGTTTTCAATGCCTATCAGGCTGGGGTAGGAGCCCTAAAACTCTCCATGAAGGATGTCACAGTGGAGAAGGCAGAGAGCCTCGTGGATCAGATTCAAGAGGTATGGGAAGGGGCTGGGGAGGGACTCTGTAGAAGGAAGTTACTGAGGACAGATAGGACTATGCTGCACTTCCTGTTTTCCCAAGCTGGACTCTTTACCTTGTGAACTTGAGGAAGCTTTCCTTGATTCTTGGATGGGGTAGCATTACTTTGTAACCCTGAACACTGAGACCAAAGGTCCACAGAGACATCACCCAGAGTTCAAGGCCTGTGTTTTTCCCTTACAGCTGTGTGACACCCAGGATGAAGTGTCTCAGACTCTGGCTGGTGGGGTAACCAATGGCTTAGGTGAGTTGGCAAGGTGGTTCTTTCTTTCTTCCTAAGAGGACTTCATTCCCTTGTGCTATGGTAGGTTTGGTCATGGATCTGCCTTTCCTGGTGCAGGCAGGGCTCTCCTGCCCTCCCTTCTCTCTGGGGCTTATCCACAGGGCTATTTGGAAGGAGTTGTCATCTCCTCCCACTGTGCTCCAGCATTCCTTACTAACTAGGCTTCTGACTGGAAGATGTTTCTTTAAGGGANGGAAGGAGTTGTCATCTCCTCCCACTATGCTCCAGCATTCCTTACTAACTAGGCTTCTGACTGGAAGATGCTTCTTTAAGGGCAAGAGGAAGCAGGGTCAGTTCTGTGGGGTTAACAAAATATACCTTCTTAATGACTTAGCTCCGTGTATGGAAAAAGAGTGTTTGCTTGAAGGTGCCCTCTGCCTTCCAAGTCGTGATTTTTTTNGAAGGTGCCCTCTGCCTTCCAAGTCATGTGATTTTTTGGGGTTTTTTTAAACATTTTCATTGATTTTAGAGAGAAAGGAAGGCTGAGGGAGAGAGAGAAACATCAATGAAAGAGAAACATCGATAGGCTGCCTCCTGCACATCCCTACTAGGGATGGAGCCCACAACCCAGGCATGTGCCCTTACCTGGGAATTGAATCAGCAACCTCTTGGTGCATGGGGCTACGCTCAGTCCACTGAGCCACACTGGCTGGGCACATGATTTTTTTTAACCTGCAAGGAGGCCTGGAGTTGTTGTTTTTTAATCCTCACCCAAGGATATGTTGAGAGAGAGAGAGAGAGAAATACCAATGTAAGAGAGAAACATCAATTGGTTGCCTCCCTCATGCGCCCTGACCAGGGACCAAACCCACAGCCCTTTGGTGTATGGGACAGTGCTCCAACCAACTGAGCCACCTGGCCAGAGAAGGCTTGGGCTTCCTTTGTAAAGCTGAACTGAGATTTGCTGTCCTCAGTCCTTGACTCATAAATACATTTCCTCCCTGGACTGTATGTGTCCTCATATTTTCTTTTCTTTCCAGATTTTGACAGTGAGGAACTAGAGAAGGAATTGGACAGCCTTCTTCAGGATACCACCAAAGAACCTTTGGATCTGCCCGACAACCCCCATGAGTTGTTTTATACCAACAGTGTGCCTATCCCTAGGATCTCGGATGCTGAACTTGAAGCTGAACTTGAGAAACTGTCTTTATCAGAGGGAGGTATGGAGCTGTATTCCCAGGGTTGCTGGTGGGCATGGGGCCCTCTGGCTGACAGGAGCCACACAGGGTTGATGAATCCCAGTCCAGTTACTTAATTGGTCAGGGTACCAGAGCCCAGTAATGGAGCTGCGGACTCCTTATTTATTTATATTAGGACTCAATGCCTTAAACACTGGGATGCTTCCATCTTAAAGATCTTCCTGATACTGTGTTCATCATTTTTTCTCCTTGCAGGTTTGGTCCCAAGCAGTAAATCTCCAAAAAGGCAATTGGAACCAACTCTCTAAAGCCATTGTAGGACCCTCAAGTGAAGGACCTTCATATAAAAGAGAGACCAGGCTTGTATGTGTGTACATAGTTATTTAAATGAGAAACTCAGAATTTTTGGGAAGAGGAGGAAGGAGAACCACTCTGATTTATCTGGATGCTACTACTTACTACAGGACAGATACAGTTTCTGGAAGCGCGCTCCAAAGGCTTGCTCCCAGCTGGTATCATGGACCTGCCTTCTCATCTTTATAGTGCCACAATTTATACAGTTCTGTGTTTGACCTGTCGTCTCTCATAGCCTGCAGTTCTTGCCATTGGCTCAGTTAGGTTTGTCTTCACCCACCAGCTTTGTTCCAGCCAATGGAGGTGAAATTTTGCAGCTTTGCTAAATCAAAATCAGTCTTCTTCCCCCACCCCTACTGTTTCATAGAGGAATGTGTTCTGTCTGTAAGGTCAGTTAAACAGCTTGTTCCGGTCCCTCTCTACTTTCACTGCAACGAGAAGAATGNTGCAGCTTTGCTAAATCAAAATCAGTCTTCTTCCCCCACCCCTACTGTTTCATAGAGGAATGTGTTCTGTCTGTAAGGTCAGTTAAACAGCTTGTTCCGGTCCCTCTCTACTTTCACTGCAACGAGAAGAATGAAAATCACACAGCTGCCACTTTATGCAGAAACATACAGTGTAAAAGGTTTTTCTCTAGGTCATTTGTCAAATTTTCCAGACATTCAGAAAAAGAGGTCACCCTGAGTGGCTGAGAATCATGACATTTGGAGGGGGCTCGTGGGGTTGATGGTCGCTGCTGCCTCTTCTGTCTTAGTGGAAGAAGATCTGACTGGAGAAAAGGTTATTCTTGGACTGTTGAACTTGAAGGGGAGAAGCCCAGGTGACTGCAGGGCCCCCAGTGTCCAAACCCCATATGCTTTTTTAAAGAGGCATAATCTTTGCCCTGCCCCATCATGGAATAACTTAAAACGTAACATATATATCAGAACAAGCCACACAACAACACACCTCCCCTTCTTGAGCCTGGCACAGCAACAGGTTCTTTGAATTTCAGAGGTATTTTGCTTTGTGCCCACTGCTCAGGGCAGGGGACCTAAGCCAGGCTGTGCAATAGAAGCAGAAGATTGGGGGGCCTTCTGCTGGATCTGCTGCGTACCTCCAGGCCCTGCTCTCCACCCATCCCTGCCTCCTCAAGCCCCATCTTCCTACTTCCTTTGATGAATGGGGGAGGATAGCATAGTGGGACAGACAAGAGAGTCTGAATGCTGTGGCAATGGAGAAGAGAAGATGACAGCCACACTGCCACTTTGCTGCCACAGTGCAATGCAAGTACTTCTGCCTGGAGCCCACCCCTGGCCCTCCTGCCTGAGGTGGTGTGGAGCAGAGGGAAGAGCTTGCTCCAGGCCAGGAGCTCAGATCACCTTTCAACAGATTTCTCTCCCACTGGACCTGGGTCAACTGAAATGTTGGGGGTGAAGAGAAACAATCACTATTTTTTCTTTTTTATCTGGTAAATAATTAAAAGAAAAAACCCAAGTGCTTGTCCTTGTTCCTTCTTTAGGTTGCATAAAGTTTCTTGTTCCTTCATGCCTCTCCACTCCCACCTCCAACATTCACACTCACAGTACATTCACTTGGGGCCACAGGAGAATTGTGCAGCTTCCTGGTGTGAGTGCTGAGCTCTTTGAAAGCTGGCGAGTCCCACTGGTGACTCGCACTGACGCTGTTCTGGGGGAGGCCGCGTCCATTGAATAGTCTCCTTGGTTATAGGAGTGTTCCGTCTTTGAGTTCTTTTACTTTGCCTGTTTGTTTAAATGACCCAATTTCCTCTGGCCATGGGATCCTACCATATTTTAGTATGGCAGCAATATTTACTCAGCACCTGCTACATGCCTGGTGTTTGTCACTGCCTGGGTGGGGGTGGGGAGGAGGGATGGGCTTTGTTTGAGTCTGAGTGCAGAGCTAGGAACAGGCTAGATCTGCCACAGCACTAGGTTCACAGCTCTAGGTAAGTCAGCAGGTGAACCAAACAGGAAAAGCCCAGAGCACAAACCGTTTAAACAGAGAAAAGTGAAGATAGGCCAGGTTCTCACAGAGGCTCCAGGAAATAGGGAACACTACCCCCCAACTTTTACTACCCTTATCCCCACTGTGCCCCCCTCCCCCGCTGAAAGCAAGAGATCTGGACTTGATGAGCGTCTCATCTGGTCTCATTCCTTGCTGACCTGAGCTGCTGAGGGGTCCTTGTTTAAATGTCTTGGCCTGGTTCTTTTCTGAGGTACAGAAAATTGAAAAATGTTGAGTCCAGGTTGAATCAGTTAAGAAAAAGGAGCCTCTGGCCAGTGATGGCTGCATTTTCAGCATGTGATCCCAATGGGAGGGGGGCAGACTCTTAATCAGGATTCTCCTCTCGAAGGAATGGATCTGGTTTATTAAGGGAGCAGATGAATTGTCTTCCATATGGAGAGAGATCAGGCCCAGAGGGACCAGGTTCAGATACTGCCTTTTTGAAACAGAAGTATCCTGTGAGGGGTACAGACAGAGAGAGGTAAGGAAGTTTGGAGAATAAATACTTCAAGTTGGAGAGCCCAGGGATCTTCATTGAGAGATGACATCCAAGCTGTTGTTTCCCTTGACTATTTCCTTGGGTATTCAAAACCTTGTAAAGCAATCTACAAGTCTTAAAATCTTGTCTATGCGTGATTCTGCTGAGATCAAGCAGGGAGTCAGGAAATCAATCAGGTAGGGGCTGGTCCTGGCTGGGAACCAAGAAACCTGGTTCCAGTTTTCATCTCAGCCACCTTTGGAGACACCAGCCCCTCGTTTGCCATCTGTAATGTAAAGCAGATGACTCCAGAAGTTCTGATTGTCTTAGTGTCCCCCTGTGTATGGTCCACTTCTCCCTTCTCTTGAATCCCTGCTGCCTCTGGACAGATCAGAGCAGTATCATGGCAATGCCGAGCCTGGAAAGGTGGCTGGGGAATCCTCAGTCACTGCTGCCTGGGGGATGGTCATGCGGTAGAGAGAGAGGCGGTGTGGGAAGAGGGGAAAGTGTGCATTTGGGGAGGTGGGAGGAAGGGCGAAGTCTCAGAACCTTCTGGGCTTCTCTGAAAGGGGCTCTTAGCCATAGGCTGGGGACCTGGGTGGGCTCTGAGTCAGAAGCCCTGCTGGTGAGACGGAAGAGCAAGGGTTAAACTGCATCTATTGATCACTGCCTGCCTGGAGGGCAGAATTCAAGTTGAGCTGACTCCTGTACCTCTGCCCCCAAGAGGTGGAGATATTTTGGTTCAGTCTGCTGGAAATGTAATGGAGGCAATTCGGAAAGCAAACCACCAAAGCTCTTCAGAAGCATGAGGCTGCTGACAGCACTGCTGACTCACAAGGAACCAATGAAGCTTGGCTTCGAGGTTCATGGCTGAGCTTGGCAACCCTCTTTGCTTTTGAAGTATTTTACTGTTTCCTCACCAGCATCTCATTTTTATTCAAGTTGCAGCTACTCTTAGGAGAAAAGTGTGGTTCCTTATCTCCTCCTGCACACAATGCACAGTAAGAGACACCTGAACGTGAGAGCCGTAAGGAGCCCTAACAAGTGCAGAAAAAGCCTCCGTTTTACAGGTGAGGACACTGAAGCCCGGTGTCTTGCCTAAGGTCACAGAGCTTGCAGGACACCTTTGGGTTTGTTGGTTTCCAGTTTGGTATTCTGTTACCCTAGGCTTCGCTCTCCCTCTTTTTTATNTCACTCTCCCTCTTTTTAAATTTTTAAATCATTTTTTATTTTTCAGTTGTCATACAGTATTATAGTAGTTTCAGGTGTGCACACCAGCGATTAGACATTCTATAACTTACTAAATGATCATCCTGATAAATCTTGTACCCATCTGCCACCATACATAGTTATTAGAATATTATTGACTATATTCCCTATGATGTACTTTCCATCCGCATGACTATTTTGTGACTACCAATTTGTATTTCTTAATTCCTTCACCTTTTTCACCCAGTCCCCCAACCCTCCCTCCCATCTGGCACTCATCAAAATGTTCTCTGTATCTATGAGCCTGTTTCTGTTCTGCTTGTTTATTTTGTTTTTTAGGTTCAATTGTTGATAAATGTGTATTTATTTCCATTTTATTGTTCATATTTTTAATATTTCTTCTTTTTCTTAAAGAAGACCCTTTAACATTTCTTGTAATACTGGTTTGGTGGTGATGAACTCCTTTAGCTTTTTCTTGTCTGGGAAGCACTTTATCTGTCCTTGGATTTTAAATGATGGCTTTGCTGGGTAGAGTAATCTTGGTTGCAGGTCCTTGCTTTCGTCACTTTGAATATTTCTTGCCACTCCCTTCTGGCCTGCCAAGTTTCTGTTGAGAAATCAGCTGTCTTATGGGAGCTCCCCTATAGGTATCTAACTGCTTTTCTCTTGCTGCTCTTAAGATTCTCTCTTTGTCTTTAATCTTTTGCATTTTAATTATGATGTATCTAGCTGTGGGCCTCTTTGGGTTCATCTTGTTTGGGACTCTCTGTGCTTCCTGGACTTGTATGTCTATTTCCTTCACCAGGTAGGGAAAGTTTTTTGTCATTATTCTTTCAAACAAGTTTTCAATTTCTGGCTCTCTCTCTCTCTTCTCCTTCTGGCATCTCCATGATGTGAGTGTTGGTACACTTGAAGTTTTTCCAGAGGCTCCTTACATTATTCTCATTTTTTGGATTATTTTTTTTCTTTTTGCTCTTCTGATTGGGTGTTTTTTGCTTCCTTACATTCCAAATCACTGATTTGATTCTCATCTTTATGTACTCTACTGTTGATTCCCTATAAATTATTCTTCATTTCAATTAGTGTATCCTCCATTTCTGACTGGTTTGTTTTTTTATGGTTTCTATGTCCTTTTTAATGCTGTTGAGGTTTGCTCTAAGTTCATTAAAAGGTTGTGCTGAATTTGCATGTAGTGCCACTTTGAATGATTTGGGAAAATAGGTGTATTATCTCTGCTTATAAAAATAACACACATTTATACATATATTATAGAATTACACATATCCTATACATATAGTATAGAAAATTTGTGTCAGAAGTCTAAAGAAGAAAACAACATAATAAAACCACTCAGAGGGAGCTGAGGTGGTAGTGGCTCTGCAGGCCTCAGTCCCGGTCCTGGATTTGGCCCCAGCCCCACCATGGTGACGCTCACTGAGCTGATGGTGCTCCTGGCCACCCTGCTGGCCATGGCCTCAGGCTACTTCATGAGCATCTACGCACATGCAGAGGAGTGCTTCTTCAAGTGAGTCACCTCAGCACCAAGATGGGCCTCATCTTCGAGGTGGCTGAGGGCAACTTCCTGGACATCAATGTGGAGATTATAAGACCTGATAATAAAGGAATTTATAAAGAAGACTAGGAGTCCAGTGGGAAATACACATTTGCTGCTCACATGGCTGGAACATGTAAGTTTTGTTATAGCAATAGGATGTCCACCATGACTCCAAAGATAGTGATGTTCACCATTG